AAAACAATGAAATGAAAAATATATATTGATGACAAGTAAAAACAAAAAGTGAAGAGGAGTGGTAAGAGATGAAAGATACCTATTGTAAAAGCATGTTAATGTACATTGTTAATGTAACAACAAAAGTGAACTCACTGTGTCCATTTGGCCCTGAGATCTGCTTTTGATGTTGTCCCTGTGGCTGCCAGGCCGGTGCGGGTTTGACCGAGGGTGAGGTGAGCTCTGCCCGGAGTCTGGGCTGGGGACAGGAGAGTCCTGCTTGAGGCACTGCACATATCTAGCATCCCTCTTGTTGGACACCAGATATTTAATTTCCTTACTGAAGAACTTTTCAACAGTCTGACAGATAAGACAAGACATAAGATTTTAGAGGAAAAGCTATATTCACATATTTAAAGCCATTTTCAGGTATGAAATCTGGATGTCTGGACCCGATTATCCAGACATCACCCAGAGCTAAAACGTTAACTATGTCGTCCCTTCACACAACAAAAGACTGTCTGTTTCAGACACCTTCTCACCTACTGGAAATTAGGGCTGGGCTATGAACTGAATTTATTTTCAGTTATGATTTTGGCTTCCAACAATTATGAAAACCAGATAATTGAGATAAACGAATTATTGTGCTGCACTCAGTTTCACAAAGATCTTCTTGTTTTGTCATTATAGATAAAGCACACCCCTTCAGCGTTCTACAAGGCAAGCATTTTTTTCCTCACATTGGGTGTAGAGAAACTTTACTCCAGTTAACACCTAAGTACATCTGAAAAGGGCTTATGTCACACACAGACCTTGGTAACAATCTCTTCCAGTTTAACAACTGAACCACAGTATGTTAACAGTGTCTTACAGAGTTGGGTATCCAAGTAAAAATGTGTACATAGCACAGAGTATCAAAAACAGTCAAGCACCAAAAACTAGCTTTGAATGTCTAGTCACTGAATGAAGTCTGCAGCGCTGAAAGGGATGTTGTGAACAGAACATGAAATTATGTGTTGTGATTAATTAACTCTCTAACAAACCTAAAATAGTTCAAGATGAAATGAAAGAAATTACTTCAAATTTAAGATTATAAATAATCAGATGTATTTTTGTCTCACCCCTCCCAGTTCCTTGATGTCACTCTCCAATTTCTCTGCTGTTCTGTTTGATGGTAGGTCCAAGTAAAACACCTTCCCAGCAAAAGGTTTCACTTGGCTTGGTTGGTTGGTTGGCTTGGCTTGGATTAGTGCTGTCTTGTCACCAGTGTTGACGCCTTTTCCTGAAAGACAATGATTAAAGTCACAGGATGAGAGAGAGCCATCAACTAGTCCAAGAGTTATCTCAGCTGAAGTGTTGGAATGATTAATCACTACTCATCGAATGATCTATCATTTATCTGGTCAAATGTCACACTTTACATTGTTTTGGCTTGAGAAATACAAACAGCAACTTCTTGTTAATCATTATCAGCTAGTTTTTAACTGCTGGCCAAACTATGCATGCTTCATCCTCTCTTAGTATCTCCTGTCTCTTCTACCTCTGTATGGATGCTGCCTCTTGTGTGTGTGTGTGTGTGTGTTTGTCCATTTCATAAGTGTTCATGATTTTTATGGTCAATGTCCTACCATGGCTTTACAGCACTTAAAGCTGCCCAGTCCTCATGCAAGACACTTTTTATACATTGTCCACAACTTATTAAACATTATCTGGCATATGCTATGTCCATTACCTAATATCTACCCAATATTGCATTTCTGTTTCTCTTTATTGCAACTGCACTAGTGCTATTTTTGTCAACTCTTTATATCTTTGTATCAGATGTTATCCCTGGAGGGATCCCACCTCTGTCCATTTCTTTGTTTCTCCCTTTTTTCTATTAAAATGGGGTCATGTTCTCCATATCCGAATCTGGGGTTTTTCGAGAGAGTGCTACAGTATATCATGCAGACGTAGAGCCCTTTAAGACCTATGTGTTTTGGGGCTATACAAGTTTCACATGATTTGGCTTGGCTTTAATTAAAGATAGTCTTCAGTATGGACTCATATGTGACACTGTTCTGATACTGTTTTTTTATTTTGTGGAGCAGATTTACAAAATAAAATTCCATAAAACACTGGAAGGGTCAGTGAGGGTACTATCCGTTAATTAGCTGAACAACACGTTTCAAGTTCAACTAGAAAACGCTACCACGGGTTGTGGTCATTTAAAACAAGTACATAGAGTACGGTAGGAAACAATAACGTTACCTTGCCAGCCGGGTCCCGTGTGCCTTTGGCTGCGTTTTGATTTCATTTTATTATCCTTAATTGAGAAAATAGTTTTTCATGACCTAACGTTAACGTTACTGTCTTCGGTAAACATCTTCCGGGAAGTCCTCGTCTGTACATTGAGAAGAAACAAATAAATGGTTATTTACAAAGAAGAGAGTGAGTGCAAGAAAAACAAACGTCTCGATAGCAACTTTAACATTATGTGAACAAATGTATCGTTAATGTTAGATGAGCCGTGGTGATCGCTATTCCCTTGTTTAAAACGATTAAACAGACTTACCAGTAACGTACGCTCTCTGACGTTTCACTGACTGACGTTACGTTCTTTTAAAAGTTTGCGCAGCTAACGTAGATAAACAGCTCGAGACCGGTGCTCCCATGCTTATTACTACAACCTTTCCATTGTGAAGTTGTTTAACAAGTGCTCAGTGAGCTGCTGTAAACTTTATAAACCTCAAAACGCCCCTTTCCCGCTTTAAATCCAATAGTGAAGGAAGTATGTGTTGCCACGTTTGAGGCTTTCCAACAGCTTAACCACTATCACGTTCAAAGACTCTACAGCCTCAATTCACATTTAAAAGCTAAAATCATAATTTAATACTGTAATTATAAAACAACTTCAACACATAATCTTTGTTTTTTTATAACCCCTGTTGCCGCCTCCTCCAGAGCTTCGATAGAAAGGATGTGTTTTATTTTAACGGATATATTTAAAACCTGGCAACACAGAAATAAATAAACGTTTTTTTGTGTTTGTATATGATGTTTCCACATACCCGTGACCCTAAATAAATATACGCAAACATATTATAGCGACATATCTTTCCATTTACAAAAACATATATATATATTGTGTGTATGTTTTAAATATCTTTTAATGCGTTTAATGTAAGGAAAATTTTTCGAACGTCAAAGAATGTGCTCAGCTGAAACTAATATTACGCAGCAAATGTCATCCTGTGAACTGAGCTAAGTAGGGTTACAATCTTAAACATACACGTTTAAGCCGTGCTTTCTTTTCGAGCTTGTAGGGCGTTACAGTAGGAGCCCAATTGCCGTACTGTTAGGAAACATTAAAAAAAATTAAGGAGGATGTGTGTGTGCATGGAAGATTTTTTTTTATGCTGAGGAGCTTTAGCAGGTAGGAAGTTGGCTAATTAGACAAGTGACGTTAGCCTGAGTGTTCTCTTCATGTTGCAGCATCTGGAATGATAATGTAACGTACTGACAAAGTCGGCGCATCTTATAAATTCATTTGGCCAGTAAAGTTTTTGTGTAGTCTATATGATAAGCCAAACATCCCAAAACAGTCCCAATGTCGAGCTATATCTTTGTGTTTTGAGAAAACAGTATGAGTGGCCAACGTGCTGTTCCTCCGGGCAGCAATGGTATTACTCCAGTCCAACAAATGGTGGCGTCCTGCTCCGGAGCCATCCTCACGTCTCTGTTTGGTGAGACTTCCTAAACTAATCATGCCGTTTAATCTTTTTCTTTGAAGGATTCTGCTGATTTGACTTTAGTGCATGTAATAGAAAATTACTGCTGACCATATCCCATAATTCTTTTCCTGTCTTATGAGACTGTGACTGGTTTCTACTCAGTACATTATGAAAATCACTTTAAATGGAACTTATAATCTTATTTCAAAGTTGCATTGACTCAAGTTTGTCCCTGCATGGTTAAGGCCCTGGTTCGAGTCAGGGTTGCGTCAGGAAGGGCATCCGGCGTAAAACACGTGCCAAATGTCAACATGCAGTAGTCAGTGTGAAGATTCGCTGTGGCGACTCCTAAAACGGGAAAAGCCGAAAGTGACTTTCTTATTGACTCAAGTTTATGGTCATTCTGGAGGCTGGATTATCATCTGGGCCAAGATATAAATTAATGATAATTACAGTTGTCTGGAGGATAGAAAAAACGTTCAGAAGTTTTTGCTTCTGAGGTTGGTTGTAATATGACCTATAATAAATTTGCACAAGTTGTATGACACTCAGTAATGATGTTACAGTCCTTTAAATGCATAGTTCGTAGCATTTTGAGTCACCTGGCATAATGCATTAACAGCTTAAACACATAAGAATTCTTGTATTATTGGTAAGGCTGTATTTTGCACAGAAGATATTACATTTGGCAGAGAAAAGGTCTCATTGTTAGTTATTGCTTTTTTTCAGTCACACCTTTGGATGTTGTGAAGATCAGACTTCAAGCACAGAAGAATCCCTTCCCCAAAGGTAAAATGAGAATATTTCAGTCTAATATTATGTATAATAGAGTAAACCTTAGATGCTACATACATTTCATCATTATCATTCAGGGAAATGCTTTGTCTACTGCAATGGACTCATGGACCATATATGTGTGTGCGAAAATGGAAACTCCAAGGCCTGGTACAAAACCCCTGGTCACTTCAATGGCACAGTGGTAAAAATTTCACATACCTATTGCTTGTAACTATTCACCATTAAATTACATAAAAGTCTAGTCAGTAGTTCCTTGTCACATTTGCTTTAGTGGTGCTAGAGTTTATTTTTGGGTGTGTAAATCAGAGCTGCACAGTCATGCTGCCAACAACAAGTCTTCCTACACTGACTCTGCACTCTTCGTTTCTGCAGGACGCCTTTGTCCAGATTGTACGCCATGAAGGAATAAAGGCATTATGGAGCGGTCTACCGCCAACCCTGTGAGTGTGAAGTCTTGCTGCACTTCATTCTGCCTGTTCTCCTCTTAAAGCAGAGTCATGCAGCAAATGTGGTCGACAGTCATTTAGCCTGTAGCTGATGCACTCATTAAGGGCGCTTTCCTTTGAGGTTGTACCAATTAGTGCCAAACCACTTAAGGTTCTCTTGAGGGCTGTCTAGAATCATTTGTAAGTAAAGCATGATTTCTGTTTACTTTGTGCATGTGTTATCTCCAGGGTGATGGCAGTCCCAGCTACAGTGATCTACTTCACCTGTTACGACCAGCTGTGTGCAGCACTCAAGGTCAGGATGGGAGAGCGTGCTCGTGAGGCTCCTCTTCTAGCAGGTGCCATCGCTAGAGGTGAGCTAACTGCTGTCTTATGCTCTCATGGGGCATCTGTTAATAGTGTTACAGACTTTAATTTCAGTTGATAATCATCTGCATTCAGCTATTGTTTACAGAATGGAATATATCTATTTAACATGAATGATTCTTTCATTCTTTTCTTGCATTAAGTGGTTATTAAAAGCAGGATTAAAAACAGGATGACTACTACTGCTGTTACTAATTTCATTAAGAGATGCAGTACGTTGTACCATAAAATGGTTTTCAATGACAATGAAGATTTTTCACTATCAGTGATATTGTTACCTGGTGTCTTTTGATGGTGTTTTTTTCTCTCTACCTTGTGCGTGTCAGTGGGTTCGGCAACAGTGATCAGCCCTCTGGAGTTGATCCGCACAAAGCTGCAGTCTCAGAAACAGTCGTACAGGGAGCTGATGGACTGCATCCGCTCAGCAGTAGAGAAAGAAGGCAGGCTGTCTCTGTGGCGGGGTTTGGGTCCCACTCTGCTCCGAGACGTGCCCTTCTCAGCCATGTATTGGTACAACTACGAGCGTAGCAAAAGTTGGCTGTGTGAACAGTACAACACCAGAGAACCCACATTCGCCATCACCTTCATATCGGGAGCGGTGTCTGGCTCTGTAAGTGCAGAAACTGCATTGCACTTAGCTTTCCAACCTGTAGAGTCAACAAATCAAACTTGACAAAAAAAATTTCATAAAAAGACATCTGTCTTATTCAGTGATACTTCAATTTCTTTCAGATCGCGTCCATTGTAACGTTACCTTTTGATGTTGTCAAAACAAGAAGGCAGGTGGAACTTGGAGAGCTACAAGCAAAGAATTGTAATTATGGCATTAATTGTTTATTGTCTTTTTAATTAGTAAATACTTCTGAAGATCATAAATGTTCTGCATGGTGATACCCAACCAGAGGTAAATGTACCCCAGGAGGTACTTATTAAAAGTAAATTTTGGAATAGCTCAGCTAATTTAAAAAAAGTATGATTTTGCAAAAAGAAATTTAAACACATATTTGTGTTTGGGAATTAACACACAAATAGGTTTATTGTCATTGTACACAGAAATCCATAAACTGCCACCTGTGATGAGGGCGTGATTCACAGCCCATCAGTAACATCCAGTTTGAAATTGAAACTGGTGAAAAAAAGACATAGGGTGATACTGGTGAAGGACCCAGCTGCTAGGGTTGGGCATGATGTCAGACAACATGTGGGAACCGTTACATTGCTCAAAAAACATTAAAGGAACACAAGTCACACATCAGATCTTGGTGAACAAATGATTCAAGTTGAAAACCTTTACTAATGTACATTGTATAATTTGTTCAGAAAAAAAAATAACATAACAATGGTCAATGGAAACCAAAATCATCAACCCACAGAGGGCTGGATTCAAATCACAGTGAAATCAGTGAAAAATTGAAATCACAACCGATCGAAATTTCATCACGGCAACTCACAGCGTGACTCAGAAGTGTAAAAGGCACCCATGTGCCTGTATGCACTCCTGACAATGTCTGGGCTTGCTCCTGATGAGTCGGTCCATGGTGTCGTGGGTATCTCCTCCCAGACATGCATCAGGGCATCAATGAGCTCTTGGACAGTCTATTGTGGTGCTTGGTGGTGTTGGATGCACCAATACATTATGTCCCATAGGTGCTCAGTTGGATTTAGCTCAGGGGAACATGAGGGCCAGTCAATGGCATCAATGCCTTCAACATCCAAAAACTGCCTACACACTCTGGCCACATGAGGCCGGGCACTGTCCTGCACCAGGAGGAACCCAGGACCCACTGCACCAGCGCAAGGTCTGACAGTCACTTTGAAGATTTCATCCCGGTACCTCACAGCAGTCCCCAGACCATTGCTGACCCACCACCAAACTGGTCATGCTCGATGATGTTACAGGCAACATAACATTCACCACGACATCTCCAGACTCTTTCACACCTGTCACGTGCTCAGTGTGAACCTGCTCTCATCTGTGAAGAGAACGGGGTGCCAACAGCAAACCTGCTAATGCTGGTGTTCTCTGGCTAATGCCAGTCGAGCTGCACAATGCTGGGATGTGAGCACAGGTCATACTAGAACAGGGGTGGCCAATTCCAGTCCTCGAGGGCCGCTGTACTGCTTGTTTTCTAACTATCCCTGCCTGACTTGCTGCTGATTACCTGGTTCAAGTGTGTTCAGCCAGTCAGAAGCTGAACACACACTGAACACACCTGAACCAGGTAATCAGCAGCAGGTCAGGCAGGGATAGTTAGAAAACAAGCAGTACAGCGGCCCTCGAGGACTGGAATTGGCCACCCCTGTACTAGAGGATGTGGGGCCCTCACACCACCCTCATGGAGTCTGTTTTTGACAGTGTGGTCAGAAACATGCACACCAGTAGCTGCTGGAGGTCATTTTGTTGGACTTTCACTGTCCTCCTCCTGTTCCTCCTTGCACAAAGGAGCAGAAAACTGGTCCTAGTGCTGGTTGTTGCCCTTCTACAGCCCTGTCCGGCTCTCCTGATGCAACAGCCGGTCTCCTGGTATCTCCTCCAAGCCCTTGAGAGTGTGCTGGGAAACAGCAAACCTTCTTGCAACTGCACATATGGATCTGCCATCTTGGAGTAACTGGACTAGCTGTGCAGTCTGACTGGGCTGCAGGTACTGCCTCATGCTACCAGTAGTGACAAGGACACAAGCAAAGCACAAAACCTGAGAAGAATCAGTCAGGAAGGATAAGGAGAGAGAGCATTTGGTCTGTGGCCACCACATGCAAAACCATTTCCCTTTTTGGGAATGGTTTTGTCTTGCTCCTGCCTCTCCATTGCACCTGTTGTCACTTCCATTTGCACCAAAGCAGTGACGCAGATTCACAATCACTTATGCTTCCTAAATGGACAGACCGATATCTCTGAAGTTTAACTGACTTGGTGTTATACTGTGATGATTAAGTGTTCCCTTAATTTTTGAGCAGTGTATATCCATTGTAGTCAGTCTTTGAATGGAGTGCATGTCTGTTGACAGGTGTTCTTGTCTTTCCAGTGTCACATCAGGTGTCGTCCTCTACCTTAAGCGTGATGCGCAGGATTGTGGCACACAACGGCTTTGGTGGATTGTTTGCAGGTAGATACGTCTGTGATATTTAGTGAAACATTATAGTTCTACTTCACAGTATGACCTGTTAAGCTCTGCTGTCTCTCTGCCAGGCTTCCTCCCCAGGCTCATCAAAGTGGCCCCGGCCTGCGCCATCATGATTAGCAGCTACGAGTTTGGAAAGGCCTTTTTCCGCAAACACAACCAGGAAAGGGTGCTCAGGCCGCTGCAGACAAGTAACACCTGAGAGTTTTCCAGTCATTAAACACCACTATGACTACTAGTAGACTACATCTGGAAGCAAAAGATCTGTGTTGCCAAAACAAGCAGAAATGGGAATGAAAAACATTGACCCTTTTTTGCATTACCAAATATTAGAAATGAGCAGAATTAATATTAAAGCTTTTTATTATAGTTTTTATTCCTTAATATTCTATGGTTTTATCACCACTGCTGTAGAGCCTGTGCACACAACTGAAAAATATATTTTTCTTTTCTTCTGTGGGTCAAATTAGATGCTTTTAACAGCCAGCAGATGGCAGCAACAGTTTTGTTAATCATATGTAATTTCCCGGGTCCTTCATGGGGCTGTGTGACTGCAGTCATGTGCCAATACTAAGAGAGGATCACCCGTTTTTGCACTTCCACCCCAGTTCTCTGTAACCTTTGTGTGTGTGTGTGTGTTTCTGTGGTCACATGGACGAACTTTACTTTCATGGCATCATGGTGAGGACATTTTGACCAATGCTCTCAAGTTCAGCAAGAGTTGTTTGAGGGTTAAGATTAGAATCAGGGTATGGGTTGGGATTATTTATTTAATGATGGTTAAGGCTAGAGTGATGGGGTAGGCAATCAACAAGTGTCCTCACACCTTTAGAAAGGCGTGTGTGGGGGTGTGGGAGCGGAAAACTCACGACAGCCAATATTGTGCCAGTACAGTGTCAGTGTAAAGCTACGTAAGTGGGGGTTTTTTCTTCAGTTTGACAAGAGACCATGGAAGGACTGTGATACATGTAAACTTTATGAAAATGCTATAATTGAAATGTTCAGTATTCAGACCCTACTTTCTTTGGAAATTATTTTCATTCGTTGACTTTAAGCATCATCACCACGCTGGTTTAGCTCAGCCACACAATAAACTATCAGTTTCTCACTGTTTTAGCAAGTGCTGTTTATTCAAAATGAAGGATACAAGTCCAATAAAACATCTGCTGTATGAGTGTGCAAATGACTGCTGGAATGAGCTGACGACAGCTGCGAGTTATGTGCCGAGGTACATGGCTAGTCACCAATACTACAAATTACATCATACTCATTCTAACACTTGGTTCTCTTTCTCAGAATACCTGTTATACCTGTTGCAAGATTTTCATTACCGAGTCCCAACACAGATCATTATTCTGAGTTTAAGCAATGGTCTTTTTGTGGTAATCAGCCATTAAAATACTGCATTTGAATAATTAAAGGGAATAATACTAGTCTGTGTCTGATTAAGCTAAACTTTAAACCCAGAACTGAAAGTGAGTATCATAGTGGTCATTACCTGAGAACAACACACACTGACAACTAATCATCTGAATAAGGTGCAAAAAACATTTGCCTGAAAAAAAAGAGACATTATGCAAAACTTTGGTAACACAATCTGACAAAAGTGGAGGTACATTCACCATCATAAATCAAAGAAATTAGTTGTTTTTTTTTAATGGATTCAGTGGCTGCAGTAACACAGGATATTAAAAGTCCCTTTCAGCTGCAGGGAAAAGCCTCAGTATTCAGTTTTTTTTTTATCTACAGTTTGTATTTTTCAGCATGCTATTATCTCCTAAAAAGCCACGTTAGTGAGGGGTGATAACATAACTCATCACTGTCTTCTCGTTACTATGAAGTGACATAGATCAACCTTCTGTCTTAATTTGTTAACAGGAATGAAAAGAAATGATGCCCCTCAGGTAAAAACACCAACAAAAATCAAACACACTAATGGACTACAGCTTCCTGACCTATGCAGTCAGATTGAGCAGTATTTCAACTGTAAGATACATTATTAAGACATCGTATGGTCTGACGGAGCTGGTCTGAGGATGCACATGCTACACCAGATTCTCAGCTTGCAAACCCGATGTCCAATCTGTTAAAGCTCTGAGCTGCACATACAGAGCATAAACCTCTACAAACAGCAAATCAGTGTCACCTACATTGAGAAAGTTCCTGGATTGTCTGGCCCTGCAGGTGATCCATTTTTCCTTTCTTTTTTATTAAGCTCCTCATCCCCTAAGAAGGGGTGATGCCCGGGCTGCTGACCTCCGTTGCAGGACTGGGCAAACACTCAGACTTCAGACTGGCCAGAGACTTGTAGCTCGCAACAGAGGTCAGAGAGCCGCAGAGACCTCTGAGAGAAAGCGTTTCCTCCTTACCTGAATGAGATGGGACACATAGTTAGTACTCATAAGTACACAAATCATCCAAGAGAGCAGTGTATACTTGCAGGAAACAGACCTTGGTGAGGCCACTGTGTGTTAGTTGGCCTGGCCTCCAGACCCAGTGTGTGTGATGGTTCAAGAGAAGTCTGAGAAAGGTTCATGTCTATCGACAGCTGCTCCAGACTCTGGAAACTCTTCCTGCAAGGACAAGGCAGAGGATCATGCAACTAGTGCTGGGACAATGTGTCAATCAACAGAAAGTGAATGTACAACCATTTTTATAATTGATTATTTGTTGAAGTTATTTAAGAAGCAAAAATGATGATTTGCCAGTATTCTCTTATTTTCCTTCCTAAAGTGAATATCTTTGGTTTTAGACAAAACAAACAGAGAACATCAGCTTATATCTAAGAAACTGAGGTGCATTTTCCACTATTTTCTGACAGTTTTTTGACTCAATGATTGTTTGATTAATCAAACAAATTATAATCAAGATCAATCAATTATAAAATGAAACCATTCGCTGCAGAAATACACACATACAAACTACACTTGGAAGCTACATACTCCTCCCACTGTCCTGTGTTCTTTGTGTACAGCAGCGTGCCCAAGGCAACAGCGTTGGCATCCAAGGCGCCAGGAGACGGCCACTGATTGGTCAGATGGGTTGTCAGCTCCTGTCTGGACCGCAAATCACTGTTCTTCAGCACGGTCCTAAAGACGAGACAGTGTCCAGAGTAGAAGTAATTTATAATTCAAATTTTTTTTAAAGGAGCAGTGAGAAGTACAAATGTAGTCACTTAAGACACAAATGTTGTTATTATTGTTTGTCTCCCTATTTTTCTTCTCAAATACCTTAAGTAAACAAAAATTCATATAGTACTGCAAAAACTATACACACAATCAAAAGGGTTGCACTTATCATCACTGATATGTCAGTATCAGTACATACTGTGTGGGTGACAAAAAAAGTGTCACGATTACATGAATTGTTTTTTATGAGAGACTACTGATAAGTTTATTTTTCTGATGTAAAGTGTCCCACTCAGTACATACATGTCTTCATATAACAATTATTTAATAACCGCCCAGAGTGCCCCAAACTCTACAAACTATCAGCTACCTTGGATTCTTTTCAGTGTAGACAGGTCCTGGTATTGTTTCTTTAAAACTTGGATTTTTTGCATTTTTCTTCATCTCTGAGCACACTTTTCATTCCATATATTCCTCTCTGAATATTCCCTGAATCACAGTCATTTTTACTGTTTCACAGCATCTCACTCTCCCCGTCTCAACGCCTGATGCTGCATGTCGCCTTGTGACATAAATCCTCTTGATGCATTTTGTAGCTTTCATTGAATTAATAATCAAACCAAGAGAGGGATTTTGTCACCAATTAGACACATTAATGGTCAGAGACAAAGCCGAAGCAGCTTTTCTTCTTGCTTAAAAGTGGTACAGAGTGCGATTGATTCAACAAGATAAAAATAAAACACCACCTGCAATCTCCAGGCATTGTCCTGAATGTCAAATCCACAGCTGGATACGCTGAAAAATCCTGCCAACTAATTGCCACAGATCTCACATGCACTAGCTGCCAAACACAAAAGGAGTAGAAACTCACAGTTGGTCCTGTAATTCTAGTATGATGTACTCAAGCTGTTCTTTCTCCAGTGTGTGGGAAAGGTGTGTGTCTGCTAAGCTCTGCTGAAGAGCCCTGTTGTGAGACACGGCCTCCGACAGCTGGGCTTCTCGTAGACGGACCAGCTCTTCCAGGTAACCCTGATGCAAACAAATACACGCACATTTTTCACATGTTTGTTTAATGCCATGAAATCACTGCTGTGTGAAAACACAACCAAATTGTCTGGCTCAAAGCAAACGAAATAACCACTGAGCAGAGACTAACAGCTGAAGCCACAGAGAAAATACACATCCCGGATATTTTATGTGCAAGAAATAACACCAAGCTGAATGTGTGTGTCAGAAAACTGCTCTTCACAGCACTTAATTCCTCCTGGCAGCTCACAATTCAAGCCTCCTATCATCACCCAGACATCAAGGAAAATGTTAGTGACATATTACCATCCCGGTTATTTATCCCAATATAACACAAATATTAAACACACATAACCAGAGGTGCTACCTTCTGCTCCAGCGCCATGCGATACTTCTGCTCAAAGCGTTTACACTTGCTGACCAACTTGCTCTGCTCGGTGAAGATGGAGGCAGCGGTGGCTGCTTTGTCGGGGGTGCTGCTCTCACTGCCACTGCTCCCCAGAGTCCTCATCTCCTCTTCGTCACTGCTGATACTGTCTGCACTGCACAGACAACCACATATTAGTTACATCCCACATAGCAGGGCGAGGCAAACAGCAGTCTGTGGGCCATATCATGTCAGTCCAGTCACAAGAGCTGAATTTCTGCTTTTCATAGTTAAAACTTTGACCTGATTTTTCACAAATCTGCTGTGGATAACATGTAAATCCCAATATATACATTAGGACGCAAAAGCTATTTGACCAGAATATGGTGCTGAAGTCTGAAGTCTAATAAACTCATGAGATAACTCATTTAAAATCAAATCATTTGGCCTATCTGGCCACAACAGATTTGTGTCAACAAACAAATCAAACATACTGAAAACATGTGGGAATGTGTTTTCACCCTCTTCTAAACAGTGCACCCTCACTGAACTAAAGAGGTTGAACTGCTGACTCCTGACATAGGAGGACACTGGTGATGAACTGCATGCAGTATGTGATGGATGTTATTAGGTCCTACATACTTCTGAGTGAACTTCAGGTAAGGCGTGTAGTCGATCACAGCGGGACAGCTGCCGTCCAGACCCTCCCCTTTGAGACAGAAGCTGAAGATAAAAGACAGGACGAAAGATCAACAAACGACTCCATAGTTGTCACAGTCATTCAGGTTTTAAAGGATCACCTCTTCTAGGTAGATTTTTTACTTTAAGAGATGTTCATTGACTTGAAAACATTTTGCATTGCACTTGTGCTTTTCAAGAACTTTATTTGCAGAGTTGCATGGACTGTCATGGTTGAGTGTTTTTGCCATGATATTGACTCACTTTGTTCCAGTTTGGTGAGAATAGATTTTTTTATTTGGATGTGTGATTCAACTTGATGGACATTTCTGAAGTGTTCAGCAAAACCAATGAAGATTACTGTTCCTCTTTGTTAATGCGGTATCCTTGTGTCATGTGTGTGATTTCTTCTAAGAGCTTTTTCTCTTGCCCCATCATGTAATTGTGCAACATTTGCAACTGATGCACCCGCAGGCTAGGAAACTACTCTCTGTCCTCTTTGTCTTATATTTTTCTCAAAAAAACTCGCATAAATGCTGATCACCACTGGGCTACTGTAATTTAATTAGGTCACTACCTGAACTGCATCAGTTGCAAACAATGCAAAATCATATTATATGGCATTGACGAAAGACTCAAAAACACTGACAACGTAGTTAAAAATAAAACAAGAAAACTGCAGCAGCCAAGCTGGACAGCACAGGCCCCATTAAAACTGGCTGAAACACACTTAGGAGGTCGTCACAGTAACGAACTAAATGCTGTTTGTCTAAAATACCTTCAAAATGGCAAAATGCCTACTTGAGATTTTCACTGCAAGAAAAACCAAACACTAAACTTTATAGAAGCATTACAAAATTTAAAATTCCTATAAAGTATTTAATCTGTGGTGGATTTCTATTTCAGTCGAGCAGCCACTGAGGTTTCTGTTAAAAAGCCTTTTGGATCATCCTAAACACACTGTTACTTTTCCAATGACCCTTCACCAAAAATGGATGTCATCCAGAACAGGGGGACAAAATAGGAACAAGGAAGGAGAGTAAGAAATAACAGAACACAATTAGTACCTGAAGTCTATAGTGTTGAGTCCAATAAGCGTGTCTGCTAACAGCCCTGCCTCTTCTCCCAGCATGAATGCTCCATCCTCATAAAGCCCCCTACAGCCGACACATGTGAACACATTATTTGCATTAATTCAGATCACACTGCTTTAGATCTGCTCAACTGAGTGAAAATTAAAAGGAAGAGCAGAGCAGACAGAGGCAGCTGTATGATAACTGACTGCTTGACAAAAAGCTTTGGTAAAACCTAGGACCTAGTGGTTTTCAAGTCCCTCAGTGCAGACGAGATGTATTCTGACAGTCTTTTTTCCATCAGGACCACTCTGATCCACGCCCTGCCCTGCAGAGAGGAAGAACACATTTAACTGTAAGCAGAGGTTTATGTCACCCAAACAGACAACCATTAACACTCTATAGCTACTGAATAACATGCTAATCTCATCATGTTAACATGCATGCAATGACAATGCTAACAGTTGTAGCACATTTACTAATAAGCATTAACCATGGTGGGAATGTTATTAATTTTGCAAGTATTAGGTCATAAATAAATAAAAAGTCTGTTTTGATCTGACCATGGTGCTACAAGAAAAGTCAGGGGGAACATATTATAAGTACTGATGAGGAGAACCTTTTTTGGACAGTTCACTTCTTAAAACCACAAATATCAGCCTCCTGGTGGCACTAAACAAAAGGTCAGGGCATGACCAAAGCAATGAGAACATTTCAAATATACCAAATTTTGTGCCAGTATATGCTGGCACAAAAGGAAGAGTCAGGAGGTGACCAGAGTCAAAAGGCTTCATCCCATAGGTAGGTAGATACTTTATTGATCCCACAGTGGGGAAATTTCTGTGTTACAGCAGCAATAGAGAACAACCAACATAACACCATAAGAACAGACACCACCATAACAGACACATAAGAACAGAACTTCATAGAAACACGGGAAAGAACACAAAGACGACACAGCTGCTGTAACTTGCTGCCACTATAGGGGGCCATGTGTATCCGCACAAAATCTCACTGCAATCCACAGATTATCTGATGAGATATTTCAATCTGGACCAAAGTGGGGGACCAATCAACAGTAGCATAATTAAACATACCATTGTGTATCAAAGAACATAAAAGTCTTGATTAAATGGCTGTTAATGACATGTCACATAAAACATTTCCTGGTATTTGTGATTAAAACCTCAGAAAGTCATCTGTACACTCAGCAGGTCTCATGACTGAAAATCTTGCAAAATGTGTTGAGAAGCATGAAAAACCGAGTGAGTCCTGTTATCAGGTACAGCTTATTAGCAGAACAGTGAAAGCTCCAGTTGTTTGCTCTCATGCCTACTGTGTAAGACTGAGTCATGTTAACATTTTTGACTGCATTCCCTTTGTTCTTGTTTTAAGAGGATAATATAAAGTAAGCTAAAATCAAAATAGCCTGATTCTGCATTGTGTGTGTGCTGTGGGTCAAGATACTGACACAATGCAGAAGTATGTAAATAAAACTGATACTCTTTAGAACTTTTAGTTTTGGCTTTATTAACAATGCGTTATTAAACCAGTCTGTCTTTGTTTTGAAGAGCCCATGTTTCTTTTGTTCCCTGCAGCCTAAGGTAATTAAATGTGATAAGCTTCAACCCAGTATCCTGTGATGGTTTTAGCCACACCTTAGCTCTTGATGATCGCACATTTTCCATGCTCTCGATGCTTCGGATGCAGTTATGGGGGACTTTACTGCAGGCAGTTTTTATGTAATCCCAGAAACTCCGAGGACTCTCATAGCCAAACCAAGTTGTCTGACCTAGGAGAGAGAGAGAGAGAGAGAGAGAGATCGAAACAGATGTGTACAAGCATTCAGTGGTTGTCTGTCTCCAAGTGTCAGCCCTGTGATAGACTGGTGACCTGTCCAGTGTGTACCCCGCCTTTTGCTCAATGTCAGCTGGGATTGGCTCCAGCCCCACCAATGCCCCTCTTCCATGATAAGTGGTATCGATAATGGATGGTTGAATCTGCATTCATATGGTTCTTACATGTCTGTCACTACCTAAACCTTCAATTTAGGCCACTAAACATAGGTGGAGCCAGGGGATGGCCAACCACCCCCAGAATCATATTGGCCACCCCTGGTGCCACCCCTGCCAGAGTCAAAATGTGATGCCGCTCACTATTAATGAATGAAACATAATGACAAACTGTTGCCTTAAATACAGCTAATGTTTTTCTGGTGTGTTATAACAAATATTGGTCAAATTAGCTTTATTTTATGTCATGCATGCAGCATAACATTTGAATTAATTTCTCCAATGGTGCTGTTATGGAATACTTGGCATGATTCGCCTCAGTGGGGAGGAATGACCATGCAGCTGCGATGTCCCCAACTGGGAGTAAATAAGGAGCACAGCCAAAGTTAGCTAAAGAAAGCAGTGTGTGTCTCATCTTTACACAAACAATTAGATTTTTAATAATAAATGGTTTGTCAATTTGTAGAATAAGGGGTTTAATTTATTTCTTATATTTATTTCAAATGTGCCACCCTTCTCTGAGTCTGTGCCGCAGCCTGGCCACCCCATCCAAATTTTTTCCCCCCCCTGCCAATAGGTCAATGCAATTTCACATTAAAATTCTGCATCATGGGAGTCCTGTTTATTTCCAGCTGGGAACCATTAATCACACCCCCCTCTGTCTCACATAGATCACATTCCTGTTCGAGGAGAATTTTGGTTATGTTTCTTTATCTGTTTACTATTGATGGGTCCGGCAACACCGATGCGTTGCCACATGTGTCGAGCTCATAGAGCAAAACCCTGTGTCGGTGCGCGTATCGCTTTAAGAAAGTCACGTGACCGATACAGGACCTGTTTCGAACTGACTCTGCCGCGCCAAACTGTGTTTATAAGGAAGCTCATATGTCAAAAGGATGCATCTGCCAAAACAAACCTCTGATCTTTTGCGGTTCATCGTCACATTCATCAAGAATTATGGAGCAGCCTCAAGCCAAAAGAAAGGTTTCCGCCGTGTGGGACCATTTTGATCTCATATCGGAAAATAAGGTATTGCCAGGTCCCAGGATCCTATGAGATACTGGGACAACCAAAAGGCAATCTATCCAAACCTCTTCCGACTTGCCTTACAATTTCTCTGCACTCCA